TGCTGGCACCCCCTTACGCCTTGTCTTCCTGCTCAATGTGCTGCTGCTGGGCCTCTGGAACTTCTTGTTGCTCTGTACCGTCATCTATTTCCACCAGTACACTCACAAGGTGGTGGGCGCCGCAGTGGGCACCTTTGCTTGGTACCTCACCTATGGCAGTTGGTATCATCAGCCCTGGTCTCCAGGGAGCCCCGGCCATGGGCTCTTCCCCTACCCCCACTCCAGCCGCAAGCATAACTGAAAGAAATAAAGGCACATAAGGCCTGGCTCTGGCTCCTCTTATCATTTATTGGGACCCAAAAAGGGCAGGAAGGGTAAGAAAAGAGTCTGCTAGTCACTTTCCTTCATTATTCCTTCCATCCCTTTCAGTCATTGAACTGGAATGTTTCTATGTGTGTGTGTGTCTGTCTCTTTCTCTGTCTCTGTCTTTGTCTCTCTCTCTCTCTCACACACACACACACACACACACACACACACACACACACACACTTTTTCCTCTCTTTCTCTCTCTGTGCTATTATGGGGCTTTGAACTCAGGCAGAGCCTTGTGCTCTTTTTCCCTTGGCTTTTTCACTCAAGGCTGGCACTGTATTATTTGAGGCACACTTCTACTTCCAGCTTTTTGCTGGAGATAAGAGTCTGTTGAATTTATTTGCACAAACTGGCTTTGAACTTGGATCCTTGGATCTCAGCCTCCTGAATAGCTAGGTTTCTTTCTTATTTTTCTTTTTCTTTTATTCTCATCTATATTTTTTTAATCAGCATCACTTAGTTGCACAGGGTCAGAGGAGGATATTTTGATATGTTCATAGATGCATACACACCTCTCCATCACCCCCTCCGCCATGTCTTTTATTTTCTACACAATCTCCTTCCTTTCAGTCTTCTAGCTATCTGGGACTGTGGAACCAAGAAATGGTGCTAGTAACTCAAAATTACAGTGTTCTATCCAGGCACTGGTGGCTCACACCTGTAATCCTGGCTTCTCAGAAGGCTGAGATCTGAGAATCAGTCCAAAGCCAGGCCATGAAAAAAGTTCCTGATACTCCAATTAAATACCCCAAAAGCCAGAAGTGGAGCTGTGGCTTAAGTGGCAGAACACTAGACTTGAGCAGATAAAACACAAGGACAATACCCAGGCCTTGAGTTTAAGTCCTAGGTTCCTGACTCTGTGTGTGTGTGTGTGTGTGTGTGTGTGTGTGTTTCTTGTTCTCTCTCCTTTTGTACTAGGGAATAAACTCAGAGTTGTACTAGGGAATAAACTCAGAGTCATGCATGCTAGGAGCTACTCAAGGTTTTGCCACAAAGACCTATGAAGGCTTTGAACTTGCAGGGTTTATTTTTTGTTTGGTTGGGTTTGGTGGTACTGAAATTTGTAATTTTTAGTGTGTGTGTGCTGGTCCTGGATTTTTTTTTGGGGGGGGGCTCCGGTTGTGAGGCCTGAACTCTGGGCCTGGGCGCTGTCCCTCAGCTCTTCAGCTCAAGGCTAGCACTCTACCACTTGAGCCACAGTGCCACTTCTGTTTTTTTTTTTATGCTTATGTGGTGCTGAGGAATCGAACCCAGGGCCTCATGCATGCAAGGCAAGCACTCTACCACTGAGCCACCTTCCCAGCCCCCTGGATTTTTTTTTTAAATCAAAGACTTTATTGGATAAATGTTACACGATATTCTTCAACATTTAACTCTGAACATAGATGAGAAGCAATTTGTTATTCAAGTCTACAAAATGAAATAGGCTCATGAAGATTTGAAGCATAGACAGAAGGCAGCATGACGCAAAGCTTAATTATTAAGCAACAAAAGCAATGAAAGTGAAATTGCATCATGGTAGGTCTGGATTTTAAATACCACTGTTTCATGTTAAAGTGAAAATCTGGTTTGGTAACAACACACTTTTGAGAATTTGTCACGAGAAAAAATACTTGCCCTCCCAACTCTTTAGCCTTTTAGTTACTTCTTGGCCATTCCACCCTGCTATAAAAGCATTCTAAAGCTTTAAACATGTCCATCACATCACTCCACGGTCTCAGCACGGCTGAGAGGGCCTGGTTCGTGCAGGGAACCGCACCGGTCAGCACCGCTAGTGTTTCCACTGCTGGTGGAAAGGTGCGCATGGAGCCCTCATCAGCTTCCCAACTCCCATGATTCCATCCTGAGCTAGTCCTATCTATGGAACACACCCAGAACGGCATGGGCTGAGCTCACTAGACTCCAGACATGCTGCCTTTTTCTTCTTGAGTTAGAGAACAGATCGCAGACAGGTAGAGTAAATGTTGTGCAGTGGTTCTGGATTTTGAACTTAGGTTTGAACTGGGTTTTGAGCACTGCTCCCGAGCTTCTTTTGCTCAAAGTTAACATTCTACCAGTTGAGCCACAGTTCCACTTATAGCTTTTTGGTAATGTATGTCTCTCAGAAGCTGATTATGGACGGCTCTCACACTTGTAATCTGTAAGACAGACAAGGTTTCTGCTGTTAAGGCAAGTGTTAATCACAAATAATAATAGCAAACACTAGCAGTGTGCTTACCCTATACTATACAATTTTAAATACCTGTAAATTTTGTATGTTTTTAAAATTATTATTAGAAAGGCAATGTACAGGGAGGTTACAGTTACATAAGTCAGGTAAAGAGCACATGTTTTTTGTACAGTGTCACCCCTTCTCTCCTTGTCTCCCAATTTTTCCCTTCCATTCCCACCCACAATTTGTATAGCTCTTCAGTTCAACGCTAATGCTCTACCACTTGAGTCACAGCACCACTTGCAGTTTTCTGGTGGTTCATTTGAGATGAGTCTCATGGACTTTCCTGCCTGGGCTGGCTTTGAACTGCAGTCCTCAGATCTCAGCCTCCTGAGTAGCTAAGATTACAGGCATGAGCCACTGGTGCCCGGCTCTTTAAGTTTTTTATATTAATTAACACATCAGTTCTCACACCAACACCAGGGGATCACTTTTGGTGTTTTTTGTTGTTGTGTTGTGCCAATACTGGGACTTAAACTCTTGGCCTTATGCCCTTGCTCAATGCTGCCGCTGTACTATTTGAGCCACACCTCCATTTCCAGGTGTTTTTTTTTTTTTTGCTGGTTACTTGGAGATAAGAGTCTGTCAGATTTATCTACCCAGGCTGACTTTAAACCTTACCCTCAGTTATCAGCTTCCTGAGTAAGCAGGATTACAGGCATGAACCTCTTTGTCAGACCAAGGTAGATTTAATAGTATTACCATTGTACAGTTGTGAAAATTAAGGTCAGAAGTTAAAGTCACTTGTTCATAGCTAGCAATTAGGAGAGCCAGGATTACAAATCAGACAATATGGGTATGTTGTCTATGTTCTAAACAAACAAACAAAAACAACAAGAAATTAGCAACTACAGCCCTCCTGTGGGCAGTTTTTGTATGGCCTGCAAGCTAAGAATAATATTTACATTTTTATATGTTAAAAAAGCAAAGATGAGCCAGGTGCCAGTGGCTCAAACCTGTAATCCTAGCTACTCAGGAGGCTGACATCTAAGGATCACAGTTGGAAGCCAGCCAGGTCAGGAAAGTCCTTGAGACTCTTATCTCCAATAAACTACTACAAAACTGAAAGTGGCACTGTGGCTCAAGCAGTAGAACGCTCACCTTGAGCTGAATAGCTGAGGGCCAGTGCCCAAGCCCAGAGTTCAAGCCCAATGACCAACAACAACAACAACAAAAATCAAAGATGAATAATTCCTGACACTTGAATATTATATGAAATTCAAATTCTAGTATCTATAAATTAAGGTTTTCTGAAACCCAGCCACACTAATTCAATTACCTAGGATACTTTCTTGCTATAGTAGAAAAACTAAGTAGATACTACAGACTGCAAGGCCCACAAAGCCTAAATCATCTAACCCCTTACGGAAAGTTTGCTCAGCCTTGGTTTAAACTACTACATTTTCCTATATCAGTACCATTAAATTGTCTAATATCAGAGAGAAAGATGTCAGTACTACAATAGACTGATCTGTAACAAAGGGGAGAAGATACTTTATGAAGGATGCTGAAGAAAGCTCTCTCTGAGGAACTGACATCTGAGCTGAGAACTGAATGTCCACACACTGGGGAAGAGTGTTTCAGGCAAAGGATTTCTCAAGGGCAAAGTACCTGAGATAGGAACAAGCAACTGTTTGAGAAACAAACAGAAAATATTTGCAAGTGCAATGCATGAGAGGAAAGCAATAGTGGCTACAGCGGCTCCCGCCTGTAATTCTCCTAATCAGGAGGCTGAGATCTGAGGATCTCCCTTCAAAGCCAGCCATGGTAGGAAAGTCTGTGAGACTTTCCACGAAATCAAAACAAAAAAAAAAAGGAAGGAAGGAAGGAAAAGAAAAGAAAGAAAGAAAGAAAAAGGAAAAGACCTAAGTGGAGCTTTGGCTCAAGTGATAGAGCTCTAGCTTGAGCAAAAGAAGATCAGGAACAGCACCCAAGCCTTGACTTCAAGGCCCAGGACCTGCACCAAAAACATGTAATAAATATAAGACAAGTAGACCATGAAGGAAAGCTCTAGAGAGGTGTGAACCTGTTGCTCTGGGAGAGTGGGTTATAGAAAAATGGACTCCGCAGCCCATGGTCCAGGGGAGAGCTAACTGAGGCTTGGATAGTGTCAGAGTCTGGGTGACATTTCGTGGGCCAGAGGATACCCAGGGTGCAATGGGGCACCCTAGCAAGACTAGGCAACAGAAGCCAGAAAGAACTGGCTCTCATAAGACTGATTATAGTCCCTGGGCGGATCAGGGGGAAAAGAGAGCCATAGGGGAGGCGGGGAGAGGGGAGGCAGGGGCGGGGCAGAGGCTGCCAGGCCCGAGATGGGCAGCGTTGGGATGGCTGGAAACCAGGCTTTGGGAGGCTGGCGCCAGAGCCGGGCCGGGAGGAGCCGGGCGGAAACGCGGCGGTCGGGCTGCAGGGGGAGCCCCCGCCCCGCCCGGCTCGGGTCTCGGGCTGTCCCCGCCTCCGCTGGTCCCTCCGCTCGCGCTCCGCAAGGAGGCCGCGCGCGTGGCCAGCTTCGCTTTCACTTTTCCTTCCCTTGCCAGTCCCTACCCCTCTCCCGCCCCGGCCATGGCCATGCTCAGGGTCCAGCCCGAAGCCCAAGCCAAGGTAAGCGCTGAGGGTTCAAGAAGGGGCCCTTTCGGGGGGCGTGGCTCCGAGGGGCTGAGGGGCCCCTCCCCAGCTGCCCCCCCAGCCCCGAATCTGAATGAGCCCCCCCCCCGCTGGCTTACCCCCAGCCCCGGATCTGAATCGGGGCAGGGGGGTCTGTCAACCGGGCCCGGAGCACCTGAGCCGGCTGGGATGGGAGGCAGCTGTGATCGGCGGGGCGAGGTGAAGCAGAGAGCTAGCGTGGAGGGGAAGTCCGCTGGCTCGGGCCACACACAGACAGGTCCTGCCTGCACACCACCTGTGTCTCCCTTTTAGGAAGGGCCACCAGTCTCACTACACAGGATACTCAGTCTCTTCCTTCTCGCACAGGACAGTACTAACACCCCTCTATACAGGCCGGGTGGCCCGGAATGCCCTAACATGAAGTACAATTCACGGTCAAGTACCATTCACGGTTCTCACCTCCATCTGCGTAGAGCCTGCTCCCTGCTCCCATACACAGATTCAGAGTCCCAGAGATCTACCTCATTCCCTCCACCCTCAGTTCACTCAGTACCTATATCTCACCTTCTTTAGGTGTGGCTTCAAAGGGATTCATTTTACCCCTCCCCAGGCCAGCCCCTACACTACCCTTAGGGAACTGGCCCCCCAAAAAACTGATCTTAAAGCCAGGCTTCTAAAGGGTTGCCTGTGTTCCACAGGTAGATGTGTTTCGGGAAGACCTGTGTGCTAAGGTAAGACCTGCCCTTTCCACAGCCTCACCCCTACCCTACCCTACCTACCACCCCCACTGCTCAGGCTTGTGTCTGATTCTGACCCCATCTTCCTCACTCAGACAGAGAACCTGCTTGGGAGCTATTTCCCTCAGAAGATTGCTGAGTTGGATGCATTTTTAAAGGTAATGGGGACAGGCAGCTAGGGAGTAGGGCCCAAGGGGAAGTCTGGGTGTGAGGAGTCTGAGTGTGAGGAGATAAGAGGAACACCTGGTCCCTAGCTCGCCTCCTACCTTACATCAGGAGCCGGCACTCAATGAAGCCAACCTGAGCAATCTGAAGGCTCCATTGGACATCCCAATACCAGATCCAGCTAAGGAGAAAGAGAAGGAAGAGCGGAAGAAACAACAGGAGGCAAGCCAAGAGATCTGGGAGGAAGGGCCCAACCAGGGGAAAACAAACTTTAGTCCTGTTTCCATGAGCTCCTCTCTCCTTGCAGAAGGAAGACAAAGATGAAAAAAAGAAAGGGGAAGATGACGACAAAGGTGCCTAATACTTACGTGCTGGGAAAAGACTTGGGTCCCAAGATGCAGGGGATACTGCCTAAGGATCCACTCTCTTCTGCCTCATCCTCAAACATGTAACTAACTGACCCATTGCCTAACTCTCTAGGTCCTCCCTGTGGCCCAGTGAACTGCAATGAAAAGATTGTGGTCCTCCTGCAGCGCCTAAAACCTGAGATCAAAGATGTCACTGAGCAGCTCAACCTGGTGAGCCTTCCACTTCCATCTCCAGGCTTCTACCCTTTGCCTTCTTGGACCCTGCCAGTTAGAGCATGACATTTGCTAAATCTTGGGAGAAGGCCCAGCAAGGAAGTCTAGCAATCCAGCCCCTAGGGCTCAAAATGAACCTGGCATCCCTCTATCAGTGTGGGTAGTGAAGAAAGGGAAGATAAGAGCCTGGCAACTGGGTGAGAGTTGATGTGGTTCCCCCCACTCCTCCAGGTCACTACCTGGTTGCAGCTACAGATTCCTAGGATTGAAGATGGAAATAATTTTGGAGTGGCTGTCCAGGTAAGAACACTGTCCCCTTCTGACTTTCCTGCCTTCCTGTGTAGCTCATGCTTCCTGTTCAACATCTCTCACTACTATTTCTTCCTTCAGGAAAAGGTGTTTGAGCTGATGACCAGCCTTCATACCAAACTGGAAGGTTTCCATACTCAAATCTCTAAGTGAGTAACTGGCCAACTGAACCCACAACAAATTACCTTTATTCTGGGACGGAGGACATCTCTACTCCCAAGCACATTCTTCTGCCTTTGTTTTGGACAGAGGCCTGCACTCTTTTTCCACTCTATATAAACCACCTGTACTTCCCACAGGTATTTCTCTGAACGTGGTGATGCAGTGACAAAAGCAGCCAAGCAGCCCCATGTGGTACGTGAGGCTCAGGTTAGGGTACATGGGGGAAGAACACATTTCAAGTCAGGTCAGGTCTGACCCTGAATTTCTGCAGGGTGATTATCGGCAGCTGGTGCATGAGCTGGATGAGGCAGAGTACCAGGACATTCGGCTGATGGTCATGGAGATCCGAAATGTTTATGTGAGGAGGGGAGGGGACGATCGGGGTTGGCAGAGGCGTCTTTCTCAGGCTACCCACTTCCTGACTCCTCATGCTGGGGGGTGGGAAAGAGAAAACTCAGCCTCTCCACAAGGCATGAAACCACCAGAGGCCTGTGTCTGACCCCCTCCCTACTCTACCCTGCCCTTATAGGCTGTGTTGTATGACATCATCCTGAAGAACTTCGAGAAACTCAAGAAGCCCCGGGGAGAAACAAAGGGGATGATCTACTGAGAGCCTCTTCTCTCATTTTGTGACAGCTTGTCCCTGCTTTTTTTGAATCAAGGACTCCAGGCCTTTCCCCTAACTTCTTCCCGTTGAGGTTTCTCCCTCAGTTTGTCTCCCAGACACAATAAATACAGTCATTGTTGCCCACCAGCCCATCTCTCTTTATTGGTTCAACTTTCCTAGTCCTTGGCTCAGGCATTTCCATTGGTGGGACCAACCCACTGGGTGATCTGGGTGTTGAGTTTCTGGTTCGTCCAATCCTGCCGGATGTCATCAAGGTGACAGTCAAAGTCCACAAGGTGCTGGTGTGCCCGGCCCTCCAGTAGTGCTCCCACCATCTGCCGTGACTCTTCCCAGTCCCTCCACATCACTCTGAAAGAGAACAGTCCACAGAGGTAAAACAGCATGCAGTAGAGCCATATATAGACTTAACAGAAGTTGGGTCTAGAGTAAGAAGCTTGGATCATGACCAGAGAAAGCCCAGAAGCCTTGGGCTTCTAAGAAGTGGAGGGGGTAAAACACTCACAAGTTCTTGTCCTTGGGGACCCAGCGGAGACCGTGGCTCTCCAGGACGATGACTGGAGGCACACAAGGCTGAGGCACTAGTTTCTTATTATCCAACTGGGGAGACAAAAGGCAATGGAGTTTCAAGAAACCCCTCTTCCCTACTTTTGTCCACCTCTCCACCCACACACACAAGTCTCACCATAATAAGTACTGCATCAGGGAAGAACTCTGCAATTCGCCCAGCGATTTTCAAAGCCAGAGACCCAGGGCTGCGTAGAAGGAAGATCAGAGGAATGAGGAGCCGACTCTGTGGGCAGACCCTGTCCATCTGAGGTGGGCCTCCCAGGTGTCATAGATGTGGGTGCAGTTGTAGCCTTTCCCTGTAGCTGGCCTGAGAGGATAGGGCCTGCTTGATGCTTGGTGAACGATTGCTTGATGCTTGAGTACTGTGGGAAACAGGTGCTCAGACACTGCTGGTGAGAGTGGAAATCAAAGGAGGTCTTTTTGGAGAGTAATTTGGCATAACTAGCCAGGATGAAACTAAATACTATATAGCTAACCAAGAAATTCCAATATAAATTTACCGAGAGTGTGGCGTAGGTGGTAGAGCTCTTTCTTAGCAAGTGCAAGATCCTAGGTTTAATCCCCAATACCACAAAAAAAAAAAAAAGAAAGAATAAGTAAATAATTGACTGTAACAGCAAAGTCTCCATAATTAACAAATAAATGGAAATACCCCTGTTGTGGGTTCCAGTACTGGTGTTTGAACTCAGGGCTTCGGTGCTGTCCCTTAGCTTTTTCACTCAAGGCTGGCACTCTACAACCTGAGCCACACCTCCACTTCTGGCTTTTTTTTTTTAGTGGAAAATTAGAAAAAAGAGTATCATGGACTTTCCTTCCCAGGCAGCTTTGAACCATACACTATTCTCGGATCTCAACCTCTTGAGGAACTAGAATTACAGAGGTGAGCCACCATTACCCAACTTTGGAAATACCCTCAATGTTTACTGTAAAGCATTAAATATAGTTACATGCATACTATATAGCCATTTGGGTAAGGTAGATCTTGCTGTGGAAATGGAAAGATGTAAAAAAAAAATCTATTAAGTGAAGAAGGAAAGCAAATTACAAAACTATTTCTAACTTGATTATGTTAGAAATACATTTTGATTTTAAATTCTTTTTTTAAGGTGCTGGGTTCAGCTTTTTCTACTTTTTTTCAGCACTTAACCTAGAGGGACACTCAGTTAACGCAAGATCAGACTGTTCTAGTTGAAATACTTGTCCTTCCCACCCCCCACAACAGCTACTCTAGGGCAGGACTCTGTCCTATTCATTTTTTTAACGCCTCACACCAGTACCAAGCGTAGTGCCTGGTGTGCAGACCCTGCTCCTAAGCATTTGAAGAAAAGATGGACAGGATAATCTTGATTTATTTGCACTCCAACCAAACCTACCTTAATCATGTGGCTTCTGCCTCTGGCTACCCGACTCACCTCTGATCATCCAGGGCTGCATTGGCATGGTAGTACCCAGCTACCACCAGACCGGCCTGTGCGCCCCACACATCCACCTGTCGTGGAAAAGGGGCCATCAGTAACTAAATCTTGCCACCGATTCTGTGGGCATGCACTACTGTGAAGGGTTTCGGGGGCTGGCGATGGGGGTTGTGCGTCCAGCGGCAGCACCTGGTTGAGGGCGACCTCCAGCATGACGGACAAGGCCAGTTGGCTGTGGAAGAGGGGCACACAATCGGTGAGACACAGGCATTCCCCGGACCGCGGCGCAGGCGCCAGCAAGAGCCCATTGACCGCAGCGTGTGGGTACCGAGCAGCATGCAGGCACATCTTTACGTAGGCCCGGGCCGAGATCTCCACCTCCCCCATGGCGGGCAGGGCCTGCCAGGGACGCAGCAGGCCCGATTAGTGCCGGTTCTCCGCCTCGCAAAAGCGAGCTTGGCCTTTCCCAGTGACTCCTCAATTAAATTCAACCGTGACGCCAACACTGCTGGAAGGCAAGACAGACCTCCGGCTACCAGCGACCTCGGTCAGGAGGCCGTCCCCCCTTACCCCCCAGGGTGGGCGAGAAGGAGGTCCTTAACCTCCCGCGACACGGAGCCCCGCCTCGGCCCAATTCCAGCAGCCAGGGCGCAGATCCACGCCTGCTCCTTACAGTCTCCGGGAGCCCCGCCCACAGGGCGCTCTACAGTAGGTCCAGAGTTCTTCCTTTATCCAATCAGCGGGTGCGCTCAGCCTTGCCCCGCCTTTGTCTCTAGCGAACCGGAAAGAACGTAAATTGTAGGGAAAAGAAAATTGCCGGGATGTTTATTGGCTAGGCTATCTATCTGACTTCTGCTTTGGGCTGCTGCAAGCTATCTTTGCAGTACCTGGGCTACATCTCCGCCACGCACCCCACCCCCCGCCCCGCCACTAGCCCGCCTCCTCCCTCCCCTCCCGCGAGCTCAAGGCAGATCAGCTTAAGGAAATGCCGGTCCCTTGTCCTCAGTAGTAGACCTTTGAACATGATCTCTCTGTGTGTGAGCACTGTCCCTGAACTTTTATGCTCAAGACTAGTGATCTATCTTTTGGTCCACAGCAAACTTCCAGCTTTTTTTGGTGGTTAATTGGAGACAAGTTTCATGGATCTTACAGTCCAGACTGGCTTTGAATTGCAATCCTCACATCTCAGCCTCCTGTGTAGCTAGGATTACAGACATGAACCACAGGAGCCTTGTGATCTTTGAATGACTGACACACACAGAAGCAATCCACAAAAAGCACGTCATTTATTTTTCTTCTAGCCTTGAACTCAGTACATAGATGGCTTCTCTTCACCCTTTGGGTTGACAATTTTCTCCAGGTTGCTACTGATTATATGATAAAGCTCAGCCTAGAAAGCCAGAAGAACAAGAGTTAGGTTCTTGGCCTTCTGGTCCTCCATCCACCTCCCTTATGGGCTTCCTCCACACTCACATAGAAGGCCCTCAAGTTCAGCACCATGCTCCTGAGCTCCCTATAGGCTGCTTCATCCCGTTCATGCACCAAAGCTCGATAATCCATCTGGGATGTAGGAGGTAAAGCTGAGTCAGCCCCACAGGAAGTTGGAACACTGTTTTCCCATATACAGAATGGAATTTGAGTTGGGTGCTGGTTGGTTCACACCCGTAATGCTAGCTACTCAGGAGGCTGAGATCTAAGGATTGTGGACCAAAGCCAGCTCAGACAGGAAAGTCTGTAATACTCTTATCTTTAATTAATTGCCAAAAAGCCAGAAGTGGAGCTGTGGTTCATGTGGTGGAGCAATAGCTTTGAGCAAACAAGTTCGGGGGCAGTGTCTAAGCCCTGAGTTCAAGCCTAGGACCACCCTCTCCTGCAAAAAGAAATAAAAAAAAAAACCAGAATAGAAAGTTAAAGATGAGCCTATCTCACCACCAACAAATGAGATCACACAGGATCAAGCAGAGAAAAGAGAAAAGGGTCAAGATTGTTGAAGCCCAAATCAAGGGTTTTCTTATTTTGTGCCAGTATTGGGGATTGAACCCAGTGCCTGTCTTTGAATTATTTTTACTTAAGCTTTGTACTCTACAACTTGAGCCACAGCTCCAGTGTCTCCTAGAACAGCTTCAAACCTTGATCCTCAATATTTTATCCACCTAAGTAGCTAGGATTACAAGCATGAGCCACCAGTGACTGGCTTCCAAATCGGTTTTTCTAGGTTTTTGGCTTTAGTATCTCCATGTTGGGAAAGTAATAAATAAGAAAAAGAAGATGGCTTCCCCTCAGCTCAATCCCACCCCAGCCAGCCTCAGCTAAAAGGCAGGTGGATTGTGCACTTACTACATGGGTCTCCTTAGAGGCCTTAGCAACCGCATCCCCACGTTCTGAGAAGTACCTGCCAAAGCAAGGGTAATAGCACAGAAATGTGTTCTGAAGGACAGGTACTCCAACACGTCTTTCCCCAAATCTCCCATCATCCTGATGGGACTGTGCAGCTTTGGGAGTCCAACAGAAACGTCCCTGCAGCCCCCATTCAGGTCCTCCTGTTGCCCTCACTTGGAAATGGTTGTCTGAAAGGCTTCCACTTTGGTCTTGACAGCATTCACTCTTTCCAGTACCTTCTCCTACAGACATGGGAGGAAAAGCTATTTCACTTTTCATACTAGATCATGCTCATCTTCTGTCTCTTACTCACAAATTTCTCCATACTGTGTCCTTAGTTACCTGTTTCTTACCTGTATTGCCACCCCAAAATCATTTCCATCCTCAATCTTTGGAATCAGATGCTGGATCCATGTTATCACCTATATAGATTAAGAGGAGGAATCATTCAACAAATGCACTGGTTTCTTCCTATTATGCCATATCCTAATAATAGCTACACTTGAATATTCATTATGTGCCATGTACTATGATGAATTATTATTATCATGGAAACTTTCCAAAGTATATATTCTTACTCTGCTCATTTAACAGATTCAACAATTGAGTCACAGACTTACTTAAGGATCTCATTTTTAGGTAAGTCACAATCAGGATTTGAACGTGGTTTCCTTCTTAGGTCCAATCTTTTAAACCAATTCACTATATCTTATCACTCCACTGGGCACTTAGTACAGCGGAAGATTCTGAGGTTATACAGGTGGA